TACCAGAAACTGAGTTATGAGCTCTGACCTGTGACCTATAAGCTCCGGGACAAAGAGTAAGGTTGGAGTCTCTAGGAGGCTGGCAGGATGCAGGACTGGTCCTCTGCGGCACTGCGTCGGATGCAGGTGGAGAAGGCCCTGGCTGAGTGGGTGATCTGTGCTGGGCAGCTTAGGCTGCCGTCAGTGCTGGCTGGGGTGGGCAGGGTTGTCTGGGCCAATGTGGAACATCAGGTCGTCAAGAAACTCAGAAGAGGCCAAGTGAGGAGGTGTGTGTCAATCAACCCAGCACCTAAGCTGAGGAGCGTGGGTCTGTGTGAGTTGAGGCCAGCCTGAACTACAGAGCAAGCTCTTGTCTCAAAACACATGTTGGATGTGGTGGCTCATGCATTCAGTACACAAGGAGCTGAGGCAGGAGGACTGTCTGCAAGTCCTAGTCCAGCCTGGGCTACCTAATGGGGCCCTGTCTTTTAAAAAAATTTTTAATTGAGTTTTTAAAATTTCATACATTTTCCCATTCAAATCCAGACCCTGTCTCCCATCCATGCCTCCCCCACCCCCCCATCGAACCCTATGCACTCTGCCATTGTCCTATTCATTCAGGTGTTTGTACCCAAATGTCCTTCAGTGTAAATTGTCCACTGGAGCACTGGAGTCTAGTCAGCCCATCTGGTGGCCCAATATAAGTCACACTCTCCCTTACCCAGCAGCAATCAGTCTTAAATAGTTCTCAATCAAGTGCTGGCCTGCCACCTATTTCTCACCTCCCCTTTGGGCCCTTGTTTAATTGAGCTGACTTGGGTCCCATGTTTGATGCCACCACTGCCGCAGGCTCACATGAGCAAGCGTCCAGTGGCCTGGAAGCCTCCACCTCTTTATCTTCATGAACCAGCCTGGGCTCTTACAATCTTTCTGCCTCCTCTTCTGCGGTGGTCCCTGCCGGAGCCATGGGTGGGTGAGGTTCCATACAGGAAGTGGGACCCTGTCTTAACCAAAAACCCAACAACAATTCTCCCAAGATTGGGGGTGGGGGAATCAAGGACCATCTACAAGGTCAAGAATCTTCACTGAGATAATGCAGTCTTTAAGTAAAGAGAAGCCAGTGGGCATGGGAGGGACTTCTGAGACCTGTAGAAGTTTCTGCTTCTTCCTTGGGGCTGTCCTAAGCCAGCAGATCATTTGGAGACTCCAGGTCCCAGGATTGTATCTGGGGAGTCCCAGCCTCCAGAGGCAAGAGGTGAGTTGATGAGGCGTGGAGACAGTGAGGCCCAGAGCCACACAACTGGCCACGGGGAAGCCAGGATTCAGACCCTAGTCTGCAGGCACTTGCAATATGCCATTGGGCCAGAGCAGGATGACCAAGAAAAAAGGGCAGTCCCGGATCCGGAAGGGCATAAGTGAGATGGCAGAGGGGGACACTGCAGGATCAGGGGGTGCTTTCTGCCCAGCCCAGGCTTTTATCTAGCCCCTCCTGGGGATCCTGCAGCCCCTCCACTTGCTGGGACCTGTTCATCCTGTGCCTGAGCTGGCTTGGTGCAAGGCTGTTGGGGAGACTGAGGGCCCCCCAGACATTCAGGCTGTCGCTGCCCTGCCACCATCTCCCTCTTACACCCCTGCTGTTCTAGGGCAAGTCCCTCCTGTCCACCACCAAACTGCTCTCTACTCTCCACATGTGCTGTTGTTTGAGGGGCTCTTCACCCTTCCCAGAGCAATCTTTCAGGCTGGGATATCCCCCAAACTCCTCTCTGTTCCCTCCTCATCGCTCTGTCTGCATGAGCTCCAGCCTGTGCATGGTTCAGGATCTTGGGTCGCAGTGCCAGGTCTGGAACATGGTGCTTTCTCCTTTCCCAGGTGTCTGGCTTTTCTCCTGGAGAGCAGCTGGTGTTTCGAGCAAAGGAGGCATCATCCAGCTTCTGGAAGAAGCCATGGGATGAAAGAGGGAGGTGGGGCTTGGCCCTATGGGGACAAGGCCTTTCTGGTGAATATAGGTCCAGAGAGCATCGGCCATTGGTCTAATTTCACACAGCAATTTGGGGAAAAGGCAGGGTTTGTCCCTAGCTCCGTTTCTCTCTAGGGTGTCTTGGGTGAGGTCTGCTGGTGGCTGGGCCCTGTGGGCCACAGTGACTCTCTTCTACCAGTGGAAAGCTGGGGCTTGAGGCTTGCAGTGCCCTGGTAGGAGACCTGCCTTTGATTTTTGATGCTCACTCTTGCAAACCCCTGGGGAACACCTGAGTCATTGCTGAGCCGGCAAACATATTTAGCTCCTTTCATTGTCCCTAATAAATCAATTTCTCCAGGTCTCTTATACCTGCTTCCAGCTCTGGGCTGCCTGCCCCCACCTCCTGTCGCCTGACATCTGGGCACCGGAGGCCCCAGGTCTTGTTATGGAGAGACTGCCAGCCCCCAAGCACCTGGCAGTGCGCCCCCTTGCTTTCTCCTCTCCTTCCCAGGGGCATTCTGAGCTAGGTGAGACCTCCTGGTTCTGGGCTGGCCTGCATTCAACAGCTCTGGTCCTGGAGCCCCATCAGAGACTCCCGCAGTTGGAGTTGCCAGGCTTGGATGCAGGGATTGATTGAGGCATTCGATGCAGGGATTGAATGCAGGAATTAACAGCATCCATCAAGCTCAGCTGTGCCACACCTGGCCTCCAGCTCAGCACCCTCTTGATATACTGGGGCTTGTGTTTGAGATCCAAGGGAGTCCCAGAAATGCCTTACTCCATCTTGTTTCTTATTGGATGGTGGACCCCAGGCCTCCACTGGGCTTGTACTTCATGGTACCTCTTCCGAGTAGCCTCTCCAGATTGCCTCCTTCCCCATGAGACTTCCCTCTTTCAGTGGCCCCATCTGCTTTGCTGTAGGTCGTCTGCCTCGTGACAATAAGGAATTAATGGCATGGAACAGAACCCTGAGGACCTACTCACCACTGTCCTAAAGGAGCTGGTTCTCTCCTTCTACCATGTGCGTCCTTGGGATTGAACTCAGGGGCTCAGGCTTGGTGGCAGATGTCTTTACCTGCTGAGACATCTTGCTGGCCTTCCTGTCCTAAGCATTTCTTATATACTTAATTATTCCCATTTTACAGGTGGGAAATCTGAGACTCAACACTGAGGGAATTTGTTTAAGTCACAGAAAAGAGCTGGGTCTTGAATCCATGCCTTCTGGGTGGTTTTTGCTGCTGCCCCTGCAACCTCTCACAGTAAGTGGCTCCTTCCTTCATTCCCCAGCCTAGGACAGGAGCCCATGCCTGAGAGCCCCCCTCCCCAATGCCTGTGGACATCTTCACTAAAGGTTTGTGCCACCAAAGGAACTCTTAGGGAAGAAAAATCTCATCCAAAGGGGGGAAGCAGCTAGTTCTGGGGCCCACAGAAAGTGGGAGAATCAGGGGACTGTACTTGTGTGAGAGAGGAGGTGTTAGGTTGAGTTTCCTGGCCTCTGTGGGGATGCTTGAGGCCACAGGCCCTAGTCACCCAGGTGCCTCCTGGTCAGGTCCATGATGCCCAGGCTGGGTTCTGTGCTGCCCAGAGGCCCAGGCTCTGTCAAAGGAAAGAATCTGTCAAGCCTGGCTCCTCTGGCAGCAGAGGACAGCTCTCATCCATGTGTGGTGGGCGCCCCCTGCTGGCTAGATTTAGGAGTGCATAATGACAAAAAGTTGCTCTGGAGAGGGGTTATGGAGGCCCTGGGGCCTGAGCCGGCCATTATCAGAGGGACCTTCCAGTCTTGGTGCGTGACATGGGCCCTATCCCTAGCAGTCTCACAGTCTCAGGGGCTTCCAGACCCTGGAACCTGCTAATCTTAGGCCTGAAGGCCTTTATCAGTTAACTTCAATTAAATCAACAATTAGTATGCACCCACTGTGTGCCAGGTGCTAAGAGGTGCTCCGTCAGTCAGACCTGCACAGAGCTCAGTCTAACTGGAGGGAGATAAGGTGAACTGAAATACAGATCTGGCTGCCTGCATTCAGGCACGCTCTTTCCAGAGGCCTCCTGGATTGTTCCTCTGCCCAGCCCAGCTCTGCACGTCCCACTGACCCCCCTCAGCAACAGCATATGTCAGCTGGGCTGGGTCACATCTGTCTCTCCCATTACACTTGGGCTTATTTTTAAAAGATTTATTTATATAATTTTTATTATTTATGTATATATGTTTGCATCTGTATGTGTATGTACACATGCATGCAGGTGCCCATGGAGGTCAGAAGATGGCATTGGATCTCCTGTACCTGGAGTTAAAGGCAGTTATGAGCTGTTTGAAGTAGGTACTGGGAACCAAACTTAGGTCCTCTGTGAAAGCAGCAAGTGCTTTTAACAGCTGAGCATCTCCCCAGCTCCTGGGCTTGAGTTTATTTTGAGGGCAAGGATGTTATCTTGGACCCCTGGTTCTGCAGGGAGCTTGGTACACAGAAGGCATTCAATACATGGACCAAAGGAAGGACTGTACAGGTAAGATGACCAGTTCAGTTCCTGAAGGTCTTTAAGGAGGACCCTAATGGTGGGATTTCAGATTGGGGTGTGGAGGTATGGAGGTAACCCAGGACTCAGGGGCCCTAGAATGTGAGCCCAGGTAGCAGGGATTCCTGGGACTGGGCCTGGCACAGCCAGAGGCACATCATAAACATCAATGGGTAGACAGTTATCAAAGGTTACTGAATCCAGCCCCACAGTGATCCCTGGCACCAGCCTGTCCTTACAGCCCCCTAGATAGGGGGAGGGGTCACTACTTATCTTCCATGACTGCCATTCCATCTATCGACAGTTTTGTCTTCTGGATGGAAAGTTCTTCTTTCCCTGGATATGGCAGAACTATCTCGGCCTTGCCCCTGCCCCCATTTCTTCCTCCAAGGAAGCCCCTGGGAAACTTCTATTCACTGTGGTACCCCCATTGTCCCAAAGATGAGGCTCTGGGGCCCTCTGAGTGTCCGCTTTTCTTGTCTGGGCAAAGGCTGAAGGGCCAGGAACAAGTCAGGGATAGAAGACACCATCATTGGAGGACAGAGCTCTGTCCACCAGTTGGATCATGAGCTTTATTCTTGCTTCTGAGTGTTAGAACAGAAAGCAAACCACTTCTCCCACTACTTTGGTGATGGGGATGAAGCTGAGGACCAGACAGGGGAGGGGACAAATTACACAGCCCCTGTGTGTATTTCCCCAAACCCCCAAATAGGGGCAGCTAAGGGGGGCTCACCTGACAAGAAAGTTCTTAATTATCCAGCAAGGGCTCCCTCTGCCAACGCCCTGGCTCCCAGATACTTGTACCCTTCTGAGTTGGGGGTCTCACCCCCTCCCATGGTGTTTCTCCCCCTGACCCTGTGGTAAATGTGCATATGTGTGTGTGTGGGGGGTAGGGACTGGGGAAAATGGGGGTAGAATGAGGGGTAGGGACTGGAAAGAATGAGAGCAGCCTGGTCACCCACTGTTCCCGCTGGGCACTTGGGCTGGCACGGGAAGCCCCATTTCTGACTGCACTGCTGAATTTTCCCCCAGGGGTTCCCCAGGCTGGAGAGAGGGTAACAAGTATTTTGGAGGAGCATCTCTGGGGGCAGAGCAGCCTACTGTGTATCAGAAGCTGGCTTTGCTCTGGCACAAGGCTGGAGTGTCTTGAGGTACTGGGACCCACTCTGTGGCTTCTCTTTACCATGGCTCTGATGGCCAAGTGTCCAGCGCAGGTGCCATGGCAGAGAGTCTGTCTAATGAGTTCTGCACCACTGGCTGGATTCCCACCACCTCCGGATAGCCCTCCTGGTAGGCACAGCCTGCAGAGTTCTCTCCTCATGGTGTTTTCATTGCAGCTCAGTCCTGTCTTCGTCAGTTGTTGCCACCGTCTTGAGGTTCTCCCTGGTTTCTCTCCTCATGTCGACACCCTTGGGAGTGGTACCTGAACCATTCTCCTCAGAACCTTCCAGCTTAGTCTGTCTGGGTCAGTTACCTAGTATCCCAGCTCCCTCTGACTTGCAGAGTCAGCAGGGCCAAGATGCTTCCTGTCCAAACTTTGTAGTTTTGCAAGAACCAGAGAAGGGGTGTGGTTTGGCAGAAGATACACAGGATATACATACTCAGAAATATGATCTGAGGCTTCCAGAGTCCACCAAGGTGCTGGGTGTGTGCTGATTTCTGCTCTGGCAGGGAGGGCCCAGCCCAGTGTGAGGGGGAAGGGACTTGCAGGGACACCTCTGAGCTGGAAGCTTCCAGGGATGCTGTGATCCTCCTGCTGGGGAGGGTGAGAGTGGGACATGCACGCAGGTGGTGGGCTCTGCACTGGCTCTGGTCACTGGTCTCTCTGCCTTTGACTGCAGTGGCCCAGGGCAGACTTTCCAGGCTCTTCCCCACAGTGGTGTCAGGAGCCTCCCTGAAAGCTCTGTGCCCTTGAAGTTCCGCATCCCCCACAACCAACTCAACGGGGGGAAGGGGAGGTTTGTGGGCAGGAACAGGTATAGCAGGGTGAGAGGTGTGTTTCCAGGTGTCAGAGGTCCCAGAAGGGCCTAGGACTGAGGGCTCCCAGTGCGGCCTCCAGAAACTCACTGCTTGCCAGCGATCTTCTTTTTCCTAGCAGCCAGCAGGTCGTAGAAGGGGACACGGGTGATGCTGGCCCTGGGGTAAGGAGAGGGGATACGATTTCAGGCCTTGGGGTTGGAGAGATGGCTCAATGGTTAAGAGCACTGATTGGTCTTGCAGAGGACCTGGGCTCAGTTCCCAGCACTTGCATGACAACTCACAACTGTCCATAACTCTGGTTTCAGATCTGTCACCCTCTTCTGACCTCCACACATTAGTACACTTGCACACATGCAGGCAAAACACTCATGCACATAAAATAAAAAATTTAAAAAGAGATTTCGGGGTTTGCTGGAAGGTGGGTTTTCTGGGTTTGTGATTCGGGGTATGTGACACCCAGGGAGGTGTCAACTTGCCCTGTTCAGGAGAAAGGCCAGGGGACCCCTACAGAGATGGATCCTTTGGTAGGCCCAGCAAGGGTGAGACCCCTACTCAAGGGGGTTGAGGGCCAAGCAGAGTCCCCGGGCTCCTTTCCAGCTCCTTCAGAGACTGAGGAGGTGCAGGGGAACCTATGGTGGAACAGCAGGCTCCTTCTTGGGCCCAGCTCTACCCTTCACTGCTGTGTGGCCCTGGGCAAGTCCCTGCTCTCTCTGAGCCTCTTTGAGACCTGAGTAAAAAGATCCTCTAAGTCCCTAGGACACAGACACAGTCCTTGCCTAGTTGTCATTTATATCTTCTGGCCAGCAGGCCTCCCACTGGCCTGTGTCTCCCCCGGCCGAACTCCTTGTGTGCACCATGTGCTGGGGGTCTCCCACTGAATCCTAAAGTTGGACTCTTCCTTCTGTGTTACCTGGGGCTTGACCCAGTGTCTGGTTCAAGGATATGCCCTCAGAAGGTTGCCAACAGGAAGGAGCCCCTTTATGGACAATGAAAGGCGATCCTAAAGAAGCAGGGCCTTCTGGAAGGTGACAGAAACTGTGGCAGGTCCCAGCAGCCGCTCACCTGATGGCCTCAATCCACTGGTCACGCTCCTCGGCGCTGGCAGCTGAGATGCGGTAGGACTGATGCTTGCCCTCCACCACCTTACCGTCCCCGTCCGTCTTGCATGCCTTTATCTTCTGGCCCCGGAAGCTCGGGCTGTACAGCTCCAGACAGAACTGGGGGTGGGGTGGGGGGGTTTGTGCCATGTGAAGGCAAGGCTGGGGGATAGGCAGGGATACTTCCCCATGGTTTTCAGGGGATATGTGTGATACTTGGGTAAGACCAGCACTCCCCCACACAGTGGCCCTGCAGGACATCTCCCTCCCAACAGGCCAGGGCAGAGGACAGTGAATGTCTACTATGGAACAGACTCCCTAAAATCCCATGTAACAGATGGGGAAAGCGAGGCTCAGGGAAGAGTCATGACTTCAGATCCCCAGCCAGTGTCCTAGTCAAGCTCTATGAAACAACTGAGATGTGACTTCCGTAACACTGACCATTCCAGATCCATGGCTCTAGGTGGACCCTACAGAGTGGCCGGACCTCCTGGGGAAAGGTCCTGCCCAGTTGCCTGCCCTCAGCTCTGCTAAGAATCCCCAGCCTGACTCGCACCGGCTTCTTGGGGTCGTCCACTTTCTGCACAGAGAGGTTCTCCAGTGGGATGATCCCCCGAGGCTCCTTGTCCTATGGGGAAGGAAAGAAGGTCAAAGGCAGGGAATGAATTTGGGGTTTCCCCTAAGCAGAGTCATGTGGGATTGCCTTCCCAGATTGCCTAGCCATAGAGGAGTGGGCATAGCATGAGAGCCCTGGCTGGGATTTGGGAACCCTAGCTTCTTTATTTTTTATTTTTTGAGACAGGGTCTTGCTGTGTAGCCCAGGCTGGCCTCGAACGTGCTAGGATCCTCCCACTTTTGCCTTCTGAGTGTTGGGATTATAGGCATGAACCACCATACTTAGCCCTCAGGAGCTCCATCTTTGAACAACAATTATTTTTTCAGTGCTGAGAATTGAACTCAAGGTCTCCTGCATGCTAGGCAAGTGTTCTACCACTGGGCTACAGCCCCAGCCCAGGAGACTCAACTTTAAGCTGGGACTTCTTGACCTTGTGCCTTGCCCAGCCCCTTCTCTTCTTCGCCCCTCAGTTCTTCCCATCTGTGAAATGGGAAGGGACAAGAACTGAATGCTCTAAAAGGGCCCCAAGCTTCCTTATGAAGGTGGTGGCCAGGGGGGCTAGGGCACGGGCGCTGCTCACAGTGGTGAACTCGAAGTAGTACAGGCAGTTGTCTGTGAGGATGAACCAGCGCCGCTTCCACGTCTTCACCCGGCCTCCTGAAAGAGGCCAGCAGTGTGGCAAGTCAGCCTTTTTCTCCATGAGCCACTGGGAGAGCCAATGTGCACTCTCCTGCTCCCCCAGCCCCCAACCCTCTCCCGCCCCCAGTGACTCCCAGTACCTCACTTCTCTTGAACTTCATCCAGGTTCCCAGAGATTAGAGGGTACTGGCCACCCTCACACCCCCACTCTGAGCCCACACCCTGACCCATGCTGCCTTTAGTGTATGTTTACGATGGTTATTATTGATAACCAACTTAACAGCATCTAGACTCATCTAGGAGACGAGCCTCTGGGTATGTCTATGAGGAGGTTTCTAGGTTGGGTTAATTGAGGTGGGAAACCCCACTTTAAATGTGGGCAGCACCATCCCATGGGCTGGAGTCCTGGACTGAAAAAGGAGAAAGCGAGCTGAGCACCAGCCTTCCTCACTGTCTGCTTCCTGCCTGTGGCCACAGTGTGACCAGCCGCCTCATGCTCTTACTGCTGCCTCCCCACCATGATGGAGTACATCCTCAAACTGAGCCAAAACAAGCCTTTCTTTTTTTATATTTCATTTATTTATTTATTTTATGGGTATGAGTGTATTGCCTGCATGTATGTGAGTGCACCTGTGTCGTGCAACACCGTGGAGATCAGAAGAGGGCTTCGGATTCCCCTGGACCCGGAGTTAAGGACGGTTTGTAGCCGCCGTGTGGGTGCTGGGAATTGAAGCCAGATCCTCTGCAAGAGCAGTCAGTGCTCTTAACCACTGAGCCATCTCTCCAGGCCCCAAAGCTTTCCTTTCTTAAGTTGCTTTTGTGAGGTATTTTGTCACAGTAAGGAGAAAAGTAACTCATAGAGCATCCTGGTTTTGATTTGCCAGGCCTGGTTCTAGAAGACTGAGAAAATGCTAACTTGTGAATCCCTGTGACTACCCAGGAGGAGGGGGCCCCAGTAACCTCATTTGACAGATGAGGAAACTGAGGTGGGGGAAAAGTGAAGTCATGTGCCTCTGGTCTTGTGATGCAGCTGATGTTCAAACTCCAGTGTCCTCACCCGGGAGCCAACACCCTTGGGCATGTTAGTACGTGATAGCTAGTGTTCTCATAGTCACTATCCCTACTGAGGCTGAAGACCTGGGTGTGAGCTCAGCACCATCAGGCTCTGAGGTCCCTCTGTTGCCTAGCTTTGTACTTGGAGCTCCCCTGGGGCTGACAGCAAATATCTGGGGGAATGTAGGAGGCCCAGAGGCCAGTAAGAGGAGAGGGTGGAGTGTGTTGACAGATGGAGGGCTCCGTGGGCATCTGGGTATGAGCGGGGCTGGCACAGTCTGAGCACAAAGTGGGTAATGGAGAATGCCTGAGCCAAGGCCCTTGCTCCAATATGAGGTGTCTTCCCTCACCTGCCTTGGAAGACCATGGTCCCTAGCTGGCTGGTTCTGCTGCAGAGGCTCCCGGGCATGTGTGTGGATGAGGCAGGGATGGCTGTTCCCCTCACCCAGTGCAGTATCCACCCCTGCACCTACCACTTTGACTCTTTCCCTAAGCCACATCATCTCTATCACTCCCTCCTCCTACTTCAAGGACAGCCAGCCTTCTGTTGTCCTAAATTTGGCACTTGTTGGGAGATTGCCCTGACCTTGCTGAGTCTTGGCTTCCTGAGAACCACCACCCAAAGGCTAGGCTGTTCAGAGGACCAGCATCTCACCCATACTTAGTAGGTCCTGAACAGATGGTAATCAGCCAAGACTTCTGTCCCCATCTTTCTGGGAGAGAAATGAAATTACCCATGGATCCTCTATCTCCCACCTGTCTTCTTATAATCAGCCCTCCCCTGCTCTCTGCATTCCCAAGACTGATGGGTAGGTAGATGAATGGGTGGATGGGTAGGGTATTTATGTATATGGGTAGATGAATAGATGGATGAATGGATGAGTGGGTTGTGGGTAGGTAGGTGAATAAGTGTGTGGGTGAATGGATGGGTGGGTGAATAGATGGGTGGGTGGGTGGATGGGTGGGTGAATGGATAGATGGGTGGATAGATGAGTGTATGGACAAATGGATGGGTAGGTGGATAGATGAGTAGATGAATGGATGGGCAGATGGATAGATGAGTGAGTAGATGGATAGGTAGATGAATGGATAGATGCATGGATGGATAGGTAGGTGGATGGGTAGAGGGGTGGATGAGTGGATGGATGGTTAGATAGATGGAGAGATAGGTGGATGGGTAGATGGAGGGATAGGTAGATGTATATAGATGTATAGATGGAGAGTTTATGTAGATGGGTAGATGGAGGGATAGGTAGATGTATATAGATGTATAGATGGAGAGTTTATGTAGATGGGTAGATGGAGGGATAGGTAGATGTATATAGATGTATAGATGGAGAGTTTATGTAGATGGGTAGATGGAGGGATAGGTAGATGTATATAGATGTATAGATGGAGAGTTTATGTAGATGGGTAGATGGAGGGATAGGTAGATGTATATAGATGTATAGATGGAGAGTTTATGTAGATGGGTAGATGGAGGGATAGGTAGATGTATGGATGGATAGGTAGGTGGATGGGTAGAGGGGGGGATGAGTGGATGGATGGTTAGATAGATGGAGAGATAGGTGGATGGGTAGATGGAGGGATAGGTAGATGTATATAGATGTATAGATGGAGAGTTTATGTAGGTGGGTAGATGGAGGATAGGTAGATGGATAGGTAGATGTATGGATGGATAGGTAGGTGTAAGGGGTAGAGGGATGGATGGGTGGATGGTTAGATGGATGGATGGATAGGTAGGTAGATGGGTAGATGGAGGGACAGATAGATATATGGATGGATAGGTGGGTATATGGGTAGATGAATGGATGGGTGGGTGGTGGAAAGGGCAGGCAGGCTGTTGTGCTAGAGATCGGGAGACTGGGGCTGTGCTGATCCACTCCTGAGGCTTCTGGTAAGTGTATGTGCATGTATCATCCATGTGTCCACACGTGTGCAGGTAAGTGTGTATGCATTTGGGTCTCACCCAGTTTGAGCAGCCAGCCCTCGCGGTCAGGGTTGAAGAAGGTGTGGGTGAGGTCACTGCCATCTTCCTCGGGGATGGAGAAGGGCTCACTCTTAATGCTGTCGAAGAGGTTCTGCCGAGAGGAGGGAGAAAGGCCTGGCTGAGTCTATGAAATATGGAGCCTGGACCACCGGGCCTGGTGACGTTGGACAGGTAACCCCCCTCCTGGCAAACCCTCTCCTGGGCCATTCATTCTTGGTGAAACCCTTCCCTGTCACCTCAGGTGTGCTGGTGCTCCCCTCCTATGCTGAGCCTCGCCACACGCCACACCCACACCTGGTGTCCCCTCCTCTGTGTGAATGGGTGTCTTGGATGTACACATGGACATGCACACATGCACACCCATCCACTCTGGGCACAGCAACTGGAACAGAGACCTCCACGGGCAGTGGCCACAGTGGGAGGGGCCCCTCTTCTCCTTAGGTGGGCAGTAGAATCTTCTAGATGACACACACTGGGGTGGGGATAGAGAGCCCTCAGGAAGGAGGGAATCTGCCACTCCAGGCTAATAGGTCCAGCAGAAGGACTGACCCCCAAGGCAAGATCCTGACCATGGTGCTCCATGGTCCCCTCCCACCAGCCCTGTCTAAAATGAGTTCTGGAGACAGGGATTGGGGTGTGGAGGGTCCTCAAGAGTTGACTTTAGTTCTCCATGGATGACCTTCTGGTAGAAAGAGCTACTGAAATACTCTGGAAGGTAAACCCTGGAAGCTGATGAACTCTTTGTCAGGGGAGGCGGGCAAGCCAGAGCTGAGCCCCTGTCCCAGGGCAAAATGTAGGTATGGATGCGGATCCTCCTGAGTATTTCTAATCTCCTGCAGTGAAGGGCTCCACCAATCACAAAGCTAGACTTGTAAGTGCCCAGGGAAATGCTTTAAACTTTGGTGGCCACTTGCTACACAATGCTGTCTAAGGCGGTTCAACATTTTCCTATGGTGTCTGGATTTACTGTGATGTTTTCTTGGGATTTTAGACCAGGATTTCATCAGTCTCGCTCAACTCCCTTGCAGTTCTAGAGATGCTGTCTGCTGCTGGTTTACCATCCTGTCCTTTTGACTAGGGGTCCCCAAAGGGCACAGGCCAGAAGCTGGTGTTTCTGGGTTGGATGGGGTGCACATTATGTATGTCCCTGCACTCACTCTGTCTTGTGTGGGGTGGGGGTGGAGAAAAGCAGGGACCAGCTTCTCTGTTGGGGACCCCAGCTTCACCCTGGGAATCCCCAGGTGGTTTGGCTGATAGAACAAGGGCCTGGGACTGGAAGGTTGCAGCAGTCGCTATCAGCCCAGACAAGTACTTGGGAGGCTCACAGAAATTGTGGGGGTGCAGAAAGGGCCTGAGCCGCCACTAAACCCACAGGAGAACCTGGAAGCTTCTGTAGTTGCAGCTCGTACATACTACCCCACAGAGAAAGAGCTCAGTGTGCCCACACTTCCTGTGTCTCGAAAACACCCTGCCGGCTTTGTCACCAAGCCACTGGGTGTGGCCATCCAGGGCTGAGTAAGTAAGTATACAGCATGGGCTGCCCTTCCTGTGGTTCTGTGGCCCTGTTCCAGGGATCCCTACTTCTTTCCCTAGGTTTCTCAGTCAGTTGGTACCCTCTTCTACCCTCAGGCTCCAGGATGAGACAGTGACCTCATTTGGCTCACCAGAGCCTTGCATCTTACTGGCTACAGTGACTAGTTTAGGGAGAGACACATGACCCAAGCTTGTCAATAGGCCTATTCCTGGCTTTTAATTTCAAGGGCTGAAAAGCTAGAAGCCTGGAGTTACCTGGCATCTCTAGAGTAGCTTGAGTCTAAGCCTATATCCAGTGTGTCTGTCAGGCTTGCTGAGACTTGCATCCAGAGCATGGAGCCCTGAGGTCACTGAGCACCTAGATCTATCCTTGCCTGAAGTCAACAGACTGTAGGCAAAGGGATCCCTGATCTACTTAGTGATGCTGGTTGAGGTTCTTGGAGCCAGAAGTGGCAGGAGGGTAGGGTGTGGAGAAAGAGGGGAGAAGGAGGCATCAAGATTAACATAGGATGGGCCAGCAAGATGGCTCAGAGGATAAGATACTTGCTGCCAAGGCTAATGACCTGAGTTCGATTCCTGGGATCCCCATGGTAGAAGGAGAGAACCGATTCCCATAAGCTGTCCTCTGACCTTCACACAGGTACTGTGGCTCGTGTATGTACCTCCCTCTCCCCACACCACACTAATAAATGTTTTTTACAAAGCAAAGACAAACATATGAGAGAAGAAGCTGTTGGCATAGACTGGGAACCATTCTGACTGTGGCTTCAGGTAACAAAACAGAGCGTGTGCGAGAAAAGCCCCCAAATCTCTAAATGCACGAAAAGGCGGCACCATGTGAATGACACACTCTCAGCGCTGTCCTTTCTCTCTAGTCCACTTCCATTCTCAAAAGAGCCTTTTTCTTCCTGAATAAACTGCCTCTATCACTTGGTGTGCTGCTGGGCCAGTTCTCCGTTCTGGGACAGAAGAACCTAGATGCCTCAGAGGGTGCTGTCTGGACCAAGTTCCATGCCTGCAACACCAGGAGACAGCTGACAGCCAGGAAGCGTGACCAAGCCCTGGCTTGGGTGCCCCCTATCTCACCCTCTGGTCTCAGCATCAGTAGGGCTCTGGAGTTCAACAGAAGCTTGAGCTAGAACTCAGTTATCATAAACATGAGGCCCCTCGCTAGTATGTCCCATGGTGCCCTGTGTCCTTAGCTGGACCTGTTCTAGGGGGATGCAGTATAAGCCTGGAGGGCCTACAACTGTCCAGGACATGGCATGCTGTGACAGAGAGGCTGGGACAATGGCCCAGAGGGTGTCGGCTAAACATACCTAGCCAGTGGATGAGAGATGTGGGCCTGACCAGAGCTCCAGGCAGCTCTGAGGCCTTGCTTCTAGAGTGGCTCCTGCGTGACAGATGTCCAAGGACCCAGGCAGCCGTGGACTAAGGGGAGGCATTACTCAACTCTGAGGAGGTTAGATTCAGTTCAGGCTTTGGAGGCAGGGGGCCTACTGTGTGCTGATCTCGGTGGGGGTGGGGGCATGTATCTGCTCACCTATCTGCTGGCTCCGATCAGGGTGGGGGCAAACCAAGGTGTGCCTGGGTGTTTCTAGTCCTTGAACCATGGGACTGTTTGCTCACCGGGTCCTGCATCTGCCCCCTTGTATTTGTAAACATCTCATGGCTCTGCGTTGTTCCTGAGGCTGGCCTTCAGCACCCAGATACTTCTGGTTACACCTGTCCCTACTACAGCCAGAGGTACTGGCCACTTTCTCCTTCCCAGACAGATGCTGCTTCCTCCTTCTGAAATGCCCTTCTTTTCCAGAGAGACTCTTATCCAGCTGTCAAAGTCCAGTTCAGAAGTCACCTCCTCTGGGAGGTTTCCAGGATGGCACCTGCCCTCCCAAGATGGCAGTAGCACCTATCTGGAGGGAAGGGCCCAGCACTAGTGTGGGCGACAGCCCTGATCCAGGAATGTAATTCACATGCAGAGCACCCTCCTCATGACCCTGGGCTTGGTCTAGTCAGGACCTGTGTAGTCATCTCTGGGTCTCTGTGCCAAGGACAGGGCCTGGTATAGTGTAGCGTGGATGGGGGTGTTAGATGAGGGGACAGGAGGCTTGGGACCTGCTTGACTGTGGAGCTAGTGGCAGCTTATGGAAGACCTGCTTCCTCCCTCTGAGGACTAGAGCTGAGATTATCACCTGTAACTCATAGAGAAGCCAGATTCTGAGCTCATGAGGCCCCACTCCCATTTATGGGGTGCTGAAGATGGACCCTAGGAACTCTACAAGCCTTTGAGCCACACCCCTGGCCTTTAGCACCCATTAGGGATAGTGTGAATTTCCCAAAGGTCTAAATCTGGAGGACTAAACCTGTGGTCCACCTCTGGACACCCTTGCTTTGAGGGGGCCTGCCAAGGGTACCCACTTATGACAGTTCATCTCAGAACAGTGGCCAGCCTGGCAGGCAGACCTTCATCCCTGTGGCATGTGCTGTATCTCAGAGGGACTCTGGGGCAGCCATCTAAGGGTAAGTCCCCCAGGGAGCCTGCAGGGCAGCGGCACATCTCTCACCCGCAGTTGCTCCTCTGGCAGGTCGCTGCCATCGTTGATGCCTCGGTTCATGGACACGAAGCGCTCAAAGGGTGGCCTGTCCCGGACGTTGGGGTTATGCAGGCCTGTGTTGAGCATGATGACGGAGAAGGACAGCACGTAGCAGGTGTCTGCGGAGCCAGACAGCAGTCACAGCCCTGGCCTGGAACACCGTCCCCCTTGCCCCGGTCCTCTCAAAGCCCTGAAGGTATATCCTGCCCCTGGCTGGATATGCCACGACATTCAAGGCCCAGTCTCTGTTCCTGTTCTCCCTGGCTCCCAGCTCCAGAAACTTCAGCTAAGGTTTCTGCTCCCCGCCCCACAACCCCCCACTGCGGCTGTGCCCTCCTTCCCTTTTAAATCTTGCTTGCCTTCAGCTGCTGCCCTCCCAGGCCCGCCCACTCTGTTCTCTGCCTCCTGGGAACTGGAGCTCATTGTTAGCCGCCCCTTTAGTTAGTAGCTTGTTCTAGAACTGCCTGGTAACCTGGCCGCCTCTGTGGGTGCCTGCTCCATTGTGCAGACCTGTGCATGGGTGTCGGGGAATGTGGCTGCCTCTCTGGGTCTTTTGGGGATCCAGAACCCGACAAGGCCAGTTCCAGCCCTTGACCTTCAGCCTCCCCATATGTAGCTTTCAGAGACTGACCCTGGAGTAGCTAATATTACAGAAAGTGATGCCTCTTCCTCCTACCACAGCAGCCAGTGCTGCTACTGTTCCCACCCCTTCCCTATACCTGGGACACAGGGTGCTGTCTCACCTCCATCTTACAGGTGAGAAACTGAGGCACAAGGAGTTTGGGTCACATGCTCCAGGTCGCATAAAGATAAACTGATCAAACCTGGTGCTTTGAAAATACCTTCCAGGAGCTCTTAACCACTGAGAGATGGCTCAGTAGTTAAGAACACTGGCTGCTTTTGCAGAGGACCTGGGTTCAATTCTCAGTACCTACATGACAGCTAACAACTGTCTGTAACTCCAGTTCCAGGGGAATCCCTCTTCTGACCTCTGAGGGCATTGCACAACATGGTTGAACTTACATATGTACAGACAATACATTCATACACATAAAAAATTAGAAATAATAGATAAAAATTTTATAAACTACTGAAAATGCCTATTTATCTTTCTATCTATTTATAATCTATCTATCTATCTATCTATCATCTATCATCTATCTATCTGTCATCTATTTGAGACAGGGTCTTACATACAACTCAGGCTGACCTTCAACAGGCAATGATTCTCCTGCTTCAGCCTCCCAAATGCTGGGGCTACAGATGTGTGCCACCATGCCTGGCTTCCTACTAATGTTTATTGAGCAGTGTAGTGTTCTGGGTTCTGGGGGTCATGGGTGAACAGATCTGATGTGCTCTCCACCCCTGTGGGGGTGTGTAGGTGTGTGAAAGCCAACACCAGTTCACAGGTCATGGCTGAGTGCCCGTTCAAGGGTCACAGTTGAGCCAGGCAAGTGCTGTAGGTGATTTTTGTCTCTGCTCTGAGTGGTGGCATGACTAGGGACAAGTTACTTCCTCCCTTAGAGTCTGGATCTGTGCTTCCCAAGGGATAATACATTGCTAACAAGCTCACAGACTTGATACAGGGACTCGATGACCCTGACAAGAGGGTCCAGTGGCCTTGCACGTGGAAAGTACCGGGCACACAGGAATGCTTCATGACCTGAATCAGCTACTGTTGCTCTGGTAACTCTAGAGCCAGAGGTGGCCATGGCAAGTTGACTGTGGTAGTCCCTCCTTGTTCCCTTGGAGACAGGGCTAAGGGCTGAGCCTTGTGGATCAGCTTCTATGTCTTTGCCCCCATGTATCAATCCCAGGCTGCTGCTTGTATCTGAGCCCTTGTTCAAATGGAACCTCCTACCAGAATGCATTTACTTCCTGGAGAACTCCTACTCACCCTTTAAAGCCTTATTCAGACCTTACTTTCTCTGAGAAGCCATCTTGGACATACTGACTCCTCTACCCTTTCCCCGTCATCCCCTTTCCCTCTCCCTGATCCATGCCTGAGGCAGCTCTGCCAGGCACCTTGCAGAGGCATGCCCTGGAGTTAGTGCTGGGTGAGGGCTCAGAAGGATCTGGGCTCCCAAGGTAGGGATGTGTGGGGAGGTGAAAGGGGTTTGTCACCTGTGGACCGGAAGACGCCTGGGTTGCAGAGGCAGTAGCGAGCAGCGAAGGTCTCCATCATGCGGTCAATCTTCTGGGCCTCACCAGGCAGCCGGAAGCTCCACAGGAACTGCCTGGGGAGACAGAGCCAAGTCAGCCAAGTGGGTGGGGCTCTTGGTGGGTCCCAGGCAATGCTCTGCCCCTGTCCCTGTGAACAGGAGAACCCGACCTCCTAAACCCACAAGATGGGACAAGTGGGGTTCAGATGTACAAGTGCCAAGCCCACGGGCACAGGAGGATCCTGGAAGTTTCTTATGGAATACTGGATATGGGACCCTGGTTCAGGCCCTGTCCTGGTTGGGCCTCCCTGTCTTGGGATCTAAACTGCCCTCTAGGTCTAGAAGCTCCTGACTTTCTCAGTGTCAGTTAAATTCTCTTGTCTCCTGCAGGGCACTTGAACTGCTCAGTGAAAGCTTGTTGCATGAGTGAGCGAGTGAGTGGAGATTCTGAAGCCCTTCATCTGGGAAGTCCATACTGCTTGGATGGTGGTGACCTCTTTCTGCCTTGCAAACTCTTCCTCACCCTTCAAAGCTCAGATCAGTTGCCCCTTAGCTTGCTAAGACTTAAAGCTGACCCACAGCAGCAAGGCCTACTGCGGGCATTCCCCATTTAGTCCTCTAGCCCTCTGAATTTGGTACTGTTATTATTTCCATTTCATAGATAAGGAAATAGAGGCATAAGGAATTTCTTTCCTTCTGTCCTTCCTTCCTTCTTCCTTTCCTTTTCTGTTTTGTTTTGTTTTGTTTGTTTTTAGTCAGAGTAGCCCAGGTTGGCCTGGAGCCTACATGTAGCCCAAGCTGGCCTGGAGTTCACAGCAATCCCCCTGCTTCAGTCTCCCAAATGCTGGGATCATAGGCATGAACCACCAGGCCCAACTATCTTGTTTGTACCTCATCCAGGGTCACACAGAGAGCGAGTGGAAGAACTGGGGTTTGGAGTGGGTGCTCTGGTTTTGGGGTAAATAGTGGTAACCCAGAAACCATACTACATCCATCAATATGAAAATACAAGCAGCAATCATAGTATCAGAATCAAAAAGTCACAAGCCACAGCAACTGTGATCACATCGAACTACATAGAAGAATAAACAGGACAGAGTCCAGAGTGTGATAGAGAGGCAGGATCAGGTTCTCAGATGGCTGAGAGGAAGGATAGCTGTGATCATTTCACACCTTAGTAACTGCAGTAGAGCAGAAGTGCAGCCTGAGATATCCCCTCCCACGGCTCAACTCAGCAGGGTGGGACTCTCCTGTTAAGCTTGCTCTTGGCTTCTTCCTCTGCACAGCCCTTGGTTGGGAGGAAATGACCCCTCTCCCACAACCACCTCCATCCCGCCACCCCACTGTGTCTCCTGCCTGGACCATTCACCTGAGGGCCTGGACGAGGTTGAGGTTGGCAAACTCGTGGCAGTCCACAAAGGCCTGCAGGACCTGCAGATTGATGGGGTTCCTGTGGAGCGGTGAGAGAGAGGGAGGGACACACGTGAGGACTTGCTGGCATTCTTCTGGAGGGGAGGGGAGAGATGACAGCCTAGTCTAGTCATACCCTGGGGCACAATTCTGTCACACACACACACACACAGACACACAGACACACAGACACACAGACACACACACACACACACACACAGACACACAGACACACAGACACACACACACACACACACACACACACACACACCCGCAGAACCCTATCTGCTCACCAGCCCTGGGCCTTCCCTGGCTTTGGACCTCCCAGTTCCAAGTCTAGTTCTTCCTTGGTCACTTCTTGCCTGGTGGCCCTACTCCAGCCACTGGGCATCCCCAGGCCCCGGTTTCCTCATTAGCAGTAGGAAGACAAACAGGCCTTTCCATTTCTTCCTTCTCCCCAGCTCTCAGGTCAGTAACCTGCACTCCAGCTCGCTTGACAAGAGGAACATGTTCCTGGGGCAGTGTGGAAGAAGGGCAGGCGACTCACCTGGCCAGCTCTACCCTGTCCCCTACAGCCCATCCCATTCACAAAGCCAGAGGGCACTCCCAGACACTCCTCAGTCTAGAGCATCCTATGGATCCTCCTACTTCGTTCTCTACTCCTTCCTCACTCCCTTCCTCCTGCTGTGTGTGGATCAGCTTCTGTCCCAGGACCTTTGCACTTGCTGTTCTCGCTGCCTCTAATGTGCTTGCCCCAGATGTACACTAGCCCCTCCTCACCCCCACACTGACTGAAAGCAGAGCTTCAGCTCAGGGTCTTCAGCAACTTGGTCCCCTTTCTGCTTTCTTTGTACCTGACAGAGCTTGCTTTCTGTCCCACTTCTGAGCAGAAAGTGCCAGTCCCAGAAGACGAGAATTTTGACTGTTTCATAAAGCCAGGACTTGGAAGAGCGCCTGGAGCACAGTAGGCATTAACGACATTACTGAATGAGTGAATGAATGAATGAATGAATGTGCTGGAGCCTGGGGTGAGTGATCACCTCCTTAGTGAATGAATGGATGAATGTGCCAGAACATGGGGCGAGTGGTCATCTCCTAAAGTCCTAAACATGATGGCTTTCCCAACATCCTTCACTCTGATCCATGCCATTCCCCCACTTCCTGCTCTCTGAGGTCCAGCTGCACTTACTTCTCCCCCAGGTAGGTGCCAATGGCTGTCTTGTTGAGGCCTTCACCCTTGTACAGGAACTGGGCAATGTCCTGGACGTTAGGGGTTAGCAGCTTGTGATCAGTGAGATACTGGATGCCCTGGAGGGGGACACGGAGTCCATGAACAGCCCCCACAGCAGCAGACCCCAGGTGGAGGAGGGGGACCTGGTATTCTGACTTGGCACAGTCTGTTCGAGGATGTTGTCCCCTCCTTAACAGAAGCTGCCTTTGAGAGGTGGTGAACTTCCTGTCATTGGAGGCGTGCTAAGAGAACCGAGTGCCTGCAATGAGCCAAGTTCACACCAGGTGTTCCCCAGCAGCCCCTGCAGCCTGCCAGTGCTTTGATTATACACTCTGGTGATTCGGGGCCTTCATAATTCTAAGAGACAGTGATTCAGTCTCTCCATTTGTTCCCTTAAAACTCATTATTTCAAAGACTTTCATTTCATCACACTAGCAATCTATGCCCATTGTATGGAAGTTAGACAAATCATCTAAATCAGGGAGGAGGAGACTGCTCAGCCCCCCCGCTGCCCCCCCATGAGGGAGCTAGCTTCCTCAGCAGTGACCTTCACTCTTTCCCCCGCCCGCTGCCACCCTGAAGCCAGCTTTGCTCATCTGACAGGCTCATGAGCAGCTCTCCTTATGACCCAGGCATAAGAAATCATCTCTTGATTTGAGGGAGGTCATGGGCTGGTCACTGGTGTTCTGGGTCCTTGAGTCCCTGCTGCTCCTGGGCAAAAAGTTGCTGGAAGTGGGTGGCAGGCTGTGGAGGTTCTGGGGTAGGGGGGCAGGGTGAAGGTGCTGGGGATCTTGTGGGCAGAGCTGGGAGCATATGTGTGAGTGTATGTGAGTGTGAGTAGGGTGGGGCAGGTGAGGGGGGCAGAGGGTTAGAGCCTGTGGCCATGACAGGCACGTGACCCTGACCTGTGTTGGGGACTGCAGTCTTGGCCAGAGCTGGGAGCTCCCTATGCCTACTTGGAGCCTTGCCTTAGTGCAGTGTGTGACTTCTTTCTGTGGCTGTCCCTGCTGTCGAGGGAGTCATGGCTACCCCGAAGAGTGAGCAGCTCCAGGATGGGTCATCTGCAGCCCAGGCCTAGAAGACATGTCCGGGGACAGAGCCCAAGATCTATGGCCTCACTGTCCAAAACTCTATTTTGGAGGATGTATAACCAGAGTGGAGAAGAGATGGGTTCAAGTGGCGGTACTTCACAGCCTCCCCGTCCTTCTGTCCTTTCATGCCACCTTGAGCCTGGGGCTACAGTGCTACAGAGTAGACAGAGCCTAGTCCCACCTGGAGACAGGATGCAAACTTGACCCTTGTAGGGGCCTCAGCTTCCTCCTGTTAGGTGGGCTGTCAGGTGAGCTGTGAAGGCACCTGGAAGGAAACCTCTTCTCCTGGCTACATGGCTGTGCACCTTGATGGGGTCCATGCTCCCTCCCCTGGCTGCCCAATTGCTCACCTTGGTGGGGTCCATGTTGAACTTCTTGCGCCCAATACACATCTCCTTCTCCTTCTGTGCCATCCGGCTGTGGACAGGGGCATCCATGTCAGCATGACAGTTCTGAACCCCATGGTCCCCAACAGCCTCCAGAGGCTCTTGTCAGAAGAGCCTTGGGGCTCCATGGGGGTCCCTAGCCTCTGCTTGGGACCACCTGGGAGAGGAAGCGAGGAGCAGGGTTGAGGGGTGGGGTCTGGCTTCTCCCCTGGGCTGGAAGCTGAACACTGGGCAGAACTCATGGGGGCGGTGCAGAGGGTCTGGGCATGATGGAACTGATGACAGCGCAGGCCCCAGAGGTGGCTCCTGGGCATAAGTCCAGCTCCACTCTCCAGGTCATGCCAGTCAAGGTGAGTCCTTTCATCATACCAGGACTCAGCTTCCCTCTCTCTAAAAGTCATTTGCCTCCTGCAGGGTGGAGAGGCTGAGTGGTGGGAGATGCTCCTGGGAGTAACCGTCTATGGCTGAGGCTAGGATGTGGAGACCTGCAGGTGTGCATGTGCTCTCATGCACACATGGTGTCCACATGTATGGACAGGTGGAAGTCTAGGAAGCACAGCAGGTTCCTGGGTCCCCTGTGTTGTGTAGTTGTGTCCTAGAGCCCCAGCAGGCATGTCTAGACTGTAGCCTGTGGGTTGCATATAGCTGTGTTTGACCCCAGAAGGCTAAGAATGGGGTCCAAAACAGAACTGAAACCTACTTAAAATATTGAGGTTTTTTTTTGTTGTTGTTGTTGTTGTCGTTTGGTCATTGTTGCATGGTTGAGTATGAACTTTGTAAATGAGATATTGTTATGTCATTTCACAATGGCAAAAGGCTGGACATGACTAGGGACCTCAGGGAGGTGGGTATGGGAACCTAACCTCCTTACACGTAAATGGAGAAACTGAAGTCCAGTGAGGAGCCTGTCTAATCTGCACTAGGGCAGAGAACAAGCAGGAGTCTTCCTGTGCAAGGGAGGATGGATGTGGGCAGAGGACACCTCCAAGTGGTGGATGGGGTGAGATGGGCCAGCAAGCCAATCCAGGCCAGACTTCTGGTCCCTGGAGTCCCAGGGCTCCTTTGCCCATTCAGTCCTAGCTGTCCCTGGCTAGTAATGTACAGGGTATGGCTGTGGGAAGCTGGGTGAGGGCTGAGAGAATGGGAGTCTCTTGGGAGTCAGTGGGGAGAGGTCCAGATGGGTTTGGATTGGGCTGTGGGCAGCATGTGCCTGCCTCCTGCTCCTCTTCTCCCTGGGTCCTGCTACCTTCCACAGCATCGAGTGGGGCATGCCCAGGAACCAGCTTCCAGGAGACCTGGCCCCTCACCTCTCCTCGGCGATCTCGAAGCAGTCAATCTGGGCAAATACATCTGCGATCTCATCCTTCAGCTTCTATAGATAGAGGGACAGATGGACAAACAGATAGATATAGGCACAGGTCAGCCTGGAGGTAAGACCCACAGGAGCCCAGGATATCCCCACAGCTCCCCATCTACCTATGGGCCAGACATCTCTCTCCTGTCTCCCCTCAGCCTCCTTCTTCCCCTCCTTATGCCTCCTACCCTCAAAGTTTGAACTCACTGCCTCTGCCTGCCTTTGTCTCAGGGGTGGGACACCCTAAGCCCCCACCACTGGCCCAACCCTATTTCTAGCGCTCTCTCTCTCTCTCTCTCTCTCTCTCTCTCTCTCTTTTCCACCCCCCCCTGCAGCCAGGATGTCTCCTGCCCTCTGGGTTTGCCCTGAGGGGCAGGGTAGGAAGCTTCTGCCCCCAGGGACCTTGGCTGTGCCACTGGGTGACTTCACCATAATCACAAGGGAGACTCCCTGGTAGGTGTCAACTGACACCTGGGTGTGCTGGCTAAGGGCCTGGGGTCCAATGGTGAGTAAGGCAGCCCCAGGCTCCACTTTCATGGGGATCCCCATAATCTGGGGATGTTGGAATCGTGGGTGGCCATGGGGGGAGGGGAGTGATCATGCAGAAAATGACCACAGCAGTGGTAGAGAAGGATCGGGCACAGGTACTCAATAGGATACCAGAGTGAAAGCTTTCAGGTGGCTCATCAGGTGGATCAGCTGTGTGGTGTGTGTGTGTGTGTGTGTGTGTGTGTGTGTGTGTGTGTGTGTGGGCGGGGACGACTCAGTGATGGTAGACAGGGAGGCCAAGGGAGCCTGGAGAAGGAGGCAGAGCCCTGCCTGGCACTAAAAAGGAGGAAGAGCCACGAGTTGAGCTGGGAGGAGCCCCAGGCAGAGGGAATAGTGTGTGTGAAGGCTTGGAGGCAGAACTGTTTGAGGAGTGAATCAGGGCCTTTTCTAAAGATCGCTGAGAAGCAGGGTAGGGAACAGATAAGAAACTGACTTGTGAGCTGTCAGAGCTGAGCCCAGGGCAGGTGTGACCTTGGCTAAGCGGTCTACATTCAGGAAGAGGAGAGGGCCAGTGCAGGCCTGCACTTGCTGAGCTGCTGTGGGCTGGCTGCCGAGCTGCTGTGGGCAGTCCCTAGGAGCTTAAACTACTTCCTACATCGGAGATGGGGATCGGCTTGGCCCAGGGCTGTGTTGTGGGGCCTGGGTTGAGGAGAGAGGGGTCTATGAGTGCGCGCGTCTATGAGTGTAAATGTGGGTCTATGTGGTCTGTGAGCGTATGAGCCTGCGTGGGCGCACCTGGATGTCCTCCAGCAGTTGCTTGCGGTGCCACTTGATCTGTTGCAGCTCCTCAGCCTCCCTGCTGCTCAGCTCCGCTGAGTCTAGAAAGAGAAGAGGCTTTGCTTGGCCTCCCAGGGCTTCTTCCCCAGGAAATCTAGGGTTGCTTCTGGTACCACTGGGGCCTGGCTGGCTGCCACGGAGAGACCTTCAGGGACCACCCTGTCAGGAGCAGCCCCACTTCTCCATCTTGATCCTTCCACTCCCTGAATAGAGATTCCCTATTGGCCAGAGTGGGGTCATGTGGCCACACCTAGCTGCAAGGAAAGCTGGTAAAGAAGCTTTTAGTAGGATGGTCATGGTGGCCTGCCTTTGTAAGAAAGGGAGATTGGATTTGGGGGGACACTTTGTAGTCCTTGCCCCCAGATACTGTGGCTCAGAGAGGAGCGATGACCTGGCTAAAGTCCCACAGGGACAAAGCCACCAAGTGAGCTGGGGCCCTGAACTGGGCTGGCTCCAATCTTGTGGCATCCCACCTGTGGTGGAAACAGTGAAGCCTGTGGTGCCGGCCTTCTGCACAGGTGAGAAGCTGACTCCACACCAGGACACTGCCAACCCTTCCACCTACCACACTCTAGTCAGAATCCCCACAGAGCCAGGCAAGCAGTTCACACCTATAATCCTAGCTCTCAGGAGGCTGAGGCAGGTGGATTAACATGACTGGCTCAGGGTGGGGCTCAGTAGCAGAGTGTCTGCCTAGCATGCTGTAAGTCCTGGGCTCTGTCCCCAGCTGTATAAAAGGAACAGAATAGATGATTTACTGGTCTTTGCCAAAGTAAAGGTTCCTATGGATGCCACTGGTCTTCCAGAGAACTCGTGGCTCAGCATCAGTCTCCACTGCTGGTTGGTGGGACATTGAGGGGGGCAGCAACCTCCTCCAAGCCTACCTGCTGGTGACCCCTGAGGCTCTGTGCCCACCCAGCCCCCTGTAAGCCTGCCTGTGCCTCCTTCCCACGTATGTTCCCATCTCCCTCTGCCCTTCTGCTTGACCTTGACGTCAGCCGGTCACTGCTGCCAGGAACACTGGGGGAACCCTCCATTATTGCTCCACAGGAAGTGGTCAGTCAGGTGGTCAGGCCTTCCCTCACGGCAGTCTTTCTAGAAAGGCCTGGAGAGCCATAGCTGCTCTTTTGTGGCTGTAGTTTGCTTTTAATTTGTTTTTTGAGACAGGGCATTGACCATGTAGCCTAGGCTGACCTCAAATGCGTGGCTGGAGTGGACTTGTGTTCAGACAGCCTCAGACGGCACCACTTGTTGTCTACAAGACACGTAGGACTGCATGCAATCAAGACCTTCAGGGCCTGCTGAGCAATGGAGTTAGCAGCCTGGTGGTAGTAGCTGAGGGGTCCCTTGCTTGAGTGACCTCTTGAGGACACATGGCACCCCTCCTCATTGGGCATCATTGGGGCAACTGGCTGCATGGTTCCTTAAGCAGAAGTGGGGGCTGATGGCTCCTTGGGACTTTCTGTCCTTGCAAGGCAAAGGCCCTGTTCCCAGAGGCCCAGACAAGGATAAGAAGCAAGTCTCACTAAAGTCTAAGCTGTGAACACTTGCTACATACTAGCAGTCCCATGTAAATGGAGTTCCTTAGCCCCCACAGCTCTTTACAGGAGATATCTGTTCAATTTGACCACAGAGGTTAAGAAAGGGGAGGTGATGGGTCTGGAGAGAAGGCTCACTGGTTAAGAGCACTAACTGCTCTTGCAGAGGACCTGGGTTTGATTCCCAGCACCTACACAGTGGCTATCAACCATCTGTAACTCCAGTTCCAGGGATCTGATGCCTTCTTCTGACCTCCATAGGCATTGCATGACACAGGTGCACTTACACACACGCAGGCAATACACTCATCCACATAAAATAAAAACAATAAATAAAATATTTTAAAAAAGAAAAGGGAGGTGGCATACCACAGGTCACACCCTCAGGAAAGGCAGTGTGGGAGCTGACACCCAAGGCTCCCCCAGAGAGAGGCAGACTCTGTGCTTGTGTGCATGCATGCATATGTGTGTGTACATGTATATGGGGGAGTGTGTGTGTGTATGTGTCTATGTGTGGAGGCCGGAGGTCAATGTTGTATCTTCTTCCACCACTTTCTACCTTACTTTTCTGTCTGTTTTTTACTATGTAACTGGCTGGCCTGGAACTCTCTATGTAGACAAGACTAGCCTTGAACTCACAGAGAGCCGCCTGCCTCTGCTTCCCAAGTGCTGGGATTAAAGGCGCCACCATGCCTGGTCCTCACCTGGCTTTTTAAATGTGTGTGCTGCTGCAGATCAAATTCAGGCCCTCCTGTTCCTGCAGCAAGTATTTTGCTGACAGACATTTTCCCGGCCCTAAGACAAAGATTCTTAAGGGGGGGCATGTAAAGAATGAGGGTGTGGAATCATGTGTGCAGACTCCTTTCAGGGACATGGCAGGAAGGCATTGCTGTGGACTGGTACTCTGGGTTCCTCCCTCAGAATGGGGTGGGGCTGAGTCCTGTCTGTGGGTAAACCCCATCCTTTTGGTTAACCTTGCAGGGTGATCAGACTTGCTGGCTGGCCCTCCTTGTCCTGCTGGCTGGGCTGGGAGCCCCTATTGGAGGAGGCCACAAGTGGTTCACTAGGCCTTAACTGAGGTGGTATGGCTTCCATGTTTATGTAACAGGCTGGCTGGCTATATGGGCTGACCACCCCCAACCTGTCTCTCCCTCCTCACTGGCCTAAGTCAGTCTCAATCTCTCTCTCTCTCTCTCTCTCTCTCTCTCTCTCTCTCTCTCTCTCTCTCTCTCTCTCTCCTCTCTCTGCCCTAGTTCCTTCTCTGAGCTCTGGTCTGTTATTGTTCCCCCCATACCCCAGTTTCCCAGTCAGTGTCCTAAGTAAACTCCTAGAACTCCCTCTCCCAGGCCTCTTCCTGAGCTCCTGAACTCCAGGGTCCCCTCCCCTCAGCACCCAGACACTAACTCCCTCTCACTCTTACAGTCCTGCTGTCTTCCTTCTGTCTCCACAGCCCCCACATCATCCCCACTGTCCTCTTGCTTGCAGTAGAAGCTGGACTTTGCAGTGTCATCCTACATCCCTGTGTGCTGCTGCCAATGCAGTGTCCTGGGTGTCCCACTGTCCTGGGGACAAAGACTTCAGAGTGTCTGTGCCCTCACCTTCCTCTCACGTGGCAGCTCCAGCCTTCCCCAGGTCTGAGCTCTGCTTGGCCTCCTGGAAGCCCTTTCTCTGTGCCATGGGCTTTTGCACATGCTATTTCATGTGCCTTGATGCCCTTCCTTCTCTCCCTGGCTGCTACCACTCACCCTAGATGCCTTTCGGCATTGCCTCTGGGCACTGTCCCCTGCCCTACCTCCTTCCCAGTCCCTAATAGGCAGTGGATGGGCTGATTAAGGACTGGGCAGCACTGCTGGCTGAGGGCCCACTGTGTGCCAGCGCCAAGTGCTCCTGGCTCCTCTCTGAGTGCCCACTGTGTGTCAGTTTTATGTACTTCTGGCTCTCTGAGCACCCACTGTGTGCCAGCCTATGTGCTTCTGCTCCTCCTGTCTTGGACCCCCATGGCTCTGAGGAAGGTATTTCTAACCTCCTCCTGCAGGTGATGTTCTTGGGGTTCAGAGAAGATAAGTGACCTGTTAGTCAACACAGATGGACAGTGGTGGAGCTTGGACTTGCACTCTGCCCACTTGGGACCTGAGCCTACCTTGTGAAGCTAGGAATCCCATGAAAATTGTCAAAAACCCAGGGCATTAGGGCTGGAGAGATGGCTCAGCAGTTAAGAGCGCTGGCTGCTCTTGCAGAGGACCCAGGTTTGGTTCCCAGCACCTACATGGCAGCTAACAACCTTCTGTAACTCCAGTTCCGGGGTATCTAATGCCCTCCTCTGACCTCTGTGGGCATTACGTTCATGTGGTGCACTTACATACATGCAGACAAAACACTTATACACATAAAAATAAATTAATAAAAACAACCAAAAAACCTCCTGGGTTTTCTGACTTGAGGGCTGACCACAGCAGCATGAAACAATGAAGACACAGAATGGGGCTTGAGTCAGGACTTCCTCGACCCTCCAAGCCAGCATAGAGCTGGGGAAACTGAGGCACGGGGGTGGTTGGAAATAGACGGGGTTTCCCGGAGAGTGGATGATGCAGGGACAGTGAGGTGTGGCCTGCACCTTATCTTCCCAAGTGCTCTCAGTATCTTTGGTAGCAAGGGTACTTAGGAACCCTCTGAGCACACTTTCCCTTTCTGCCCAAGCCCTGTCCCCAGTGGGTACAGTTGGCCAAGTGCATATGAACCCAGGAAACAGCCCCATGGCCCCTGATCTGCTGTCCTAACACAGGGCAAGTGTGCCGCAAGGAGCCTCTGACTCTTCATTAGGCTGCTTTCAAAAAGAGAAGCTTTCTCTCCATTTCAGAGCTCAGGACCCGAAGTCAGAGGGCAATGAAGGCACTGACAGAGAGGGGCCACCTCTGATGTCACCTGCTGAGGGTGAATTTCAGGCACTGGTGTGGGCTCCTGGTAGAGGCAGTTTCAAGACAATACAAACATTGGAAACATCTGGTCAACTGCGCTCCTAGGCTGTGAGCACCTGGTTTTCTCTGCAATGCTCCTCTTGGGGTGCTCTTCCCAAAGGTGCTCCTCTCTCAGCCTCCCCTCACCTTTGACTCCTGCTCTGTCCACCCATGGGGTTCCTACACTATGGCCAGTGAGTGCCCAGTGCCCAGTGCCCACTGCCCTGTAGCCACCCCTCCCAGCTCCTTGCCACTTCCCCCTCCCCGTTCCTCTTTCCCATTGTATTTTTAGTGCTTATACCCAGCTTCCAGAACAGCTGGCCCCACTTCCCCTTTCCAGGTGGAGGTGGCGCCGTGGGGCACAGAGGCTCTGGAAGGGTGCTGGGTCCTGCAGGGCAGACACCACCCACCATGGCGCTGCACAGCGGCAAGCACAGAGTGCAGCTTCCTCCCCCTGGTGTCTATTTTTAAACCACCCGGCCTCCCTCATCCTCTCACCACTGGCCCCTTCAGGCAGGGCTTTCTTGCCCTGGGTGCTCACCTTCCTGAAGGCCGTGTGTGTGTGTGTGTGTGTGTGTGTGTGTGTGTGTGTGTGTGTGTATGTATGTATGTACACGCTTGCCTGGTGGCACAGGCACATGGGCAGGAGGTGGGAAGCAGCTTGGAGGTGGAGCGGGGAGCATTGGTCATTGTTCCATCCATAATCAAGGTGAGGAAACTGAGGCCTGTTGCAGGAAGAGACTCAAACCTGGTACCGATCTTTGCAGGGGCAGTTCATGAGGACAAAGGGCCAGCCATTCACAGATGATGCATTTGAGGGTCTCTGGTCACTGAACACTCCTGGGGTAACTCCAGGAAGTTCCTCCCAGTGCCCCCTTTGCTCCCCTGTTTGTGTCAGAGGTGGTTGTGACCAGGTGTGAGTTAGAATGCCAAAGAGTGTGTTTCCTCTCCGCTCACCCAATACCCTGGAGCAGCAGCTCCCCTGGACACCAGCCCATGGCTTTGTTCCTGTATTTTGAAGCCCACCACCGGGCTGTTTATACAACGAATGAATGAATGAATGAATGAATGAATGAAAAGACAAACCAGTTCACAGAGACCCCAAATCTCCCACAGACTGTCATACTGTCCCCTGTCCATCCCTCTCCCCCCCAGACCAGCCCAAGGCATGCAGAGACGAGCCTTCCCTCCTCCAGACCTCTGCAGCATCTGGCCAAGCTAGCCTTCTAGGCCTCTCCTTGCTGGGCTCCTTGTTGTCCATGTGACCTAAGCCAGCCAGTCCTCATCCTCAGTTTCCCCCTGGGAGCTTCAGTTTCCTCATCTGTCCCAGAGGCTAACTGTCCTGTGACCCCACTATGTTAGGACCCTAACAAGCAAAGTGACAGTAGACAATCAAGCCTGGGGGAAGGGAGGGAGACTTGTGTCTGCCTTGCTCTCATCCCTCAGAGTGACCTACCTGCCTGTCCTGGGTCTCCACTTGGCCTCTTTTTGGCCCAAAACCCCAGCCTTGTCACCCAATCTCTGCAGGATGGAGTCACTTGCTTCTCCTGCAACCCCAAAGCCCAGAGACATGAGGCAGAGGCTGGGCCAGGGATAGCCTTGGGCAGGGTGGATGGAGATGCTGGCCCTGCTGAGTGGCCTCTAATATATGACATTGCTGACACAACTTCCTGTGTCCTATCCGTAAATGGGCCAGTGGGTTTCTGTGTTCCTAGGACCCCAAGGCACCATCTCTGGGGGATGCCCAGCAGCAGTGGGTGGGGCCAGGCTGCTCAAAGTTAGGTTTCATTTAGAGAAAAATGCTACTCTAGACTAAGTCTAAGTCACCTGGACCTGGGGATTCAGACAGTCACTATTGGCCCTCATGTTCTAGAACTCCAAGGAAACATTTGGAGGCCGGGGGTTAGGGGGCTAGGCTTCTTTCCCAGCCTTTCCCTCTGCAACCCAGAACCACACCTATCTCCTGTACCAACTTTGCAACCTCCTTCTCTGTCCCCAGGCCTAACTCCCTGGCTACTGGGGAGTGCCTATCAGGGCCGTGCTGCTGGTACTGCAGGTACTGCTTCCCCAGGAAGTGTACCCAGATCTCCCCCAAAGGCCACCAGACCTCAAGAGCAGAAAAAGTGTTGCAAGGCCCAGACAGGCATCACCAGCAGCATAAGGTGTTTAGAAATGGGTCTCCCCAGCTCCTGAGTCTTTACGGAGCCTCTTTCTTCTGGACGCTCTTCCTCAGATCCCCTAGGAACCCCCTCTTCCTTCAGGTCTGTGCTCAGCTTGTGCCCTCAAGGCCTCCCACCCACCCTCTCTCCTCTCCCTGTCCAGCTGTCTTCTACTTCACCCCACTTGTCACTGGCTCACCAGCACCATTATGTCCTGCTTACCATCTGTCCCCTTGCTAGAGCTGAGCTCAGGAGGCCAAGAACAGTGACCACTTTGGTCCCAGAGCCCAACCTGGCTTGGCTCCCACCTCAGTACACAATGTTTGATGTTTGGGGCTGGTGGCTGAAACCGGTCACACACATCTCTGTGCCTCTGAGGGCCCCGCAAGGCGGCCACTGCTTCCCCATTCTGCGGGAGGGGACACTGAGGCCCCGGCTGGGCCCCAGATGCTTACCTGGGTGACACAGGTCCATTCTGAAGCCCTGGGGGAAGGTTGCCCAGCTGATTGTCTTGGCAGCACAGCTGCTGCCTCAGTGGGTGACTGCCAGGGCCAGTCACAGGGCCTTCCTGTGTGCCCCGCCCCAGACCCTGTGGGAGGAAGTCAGCCTTGTCCGCAGGGGTCTGTGCGCAGGCTCCTGACACAGCATACTTCCTAAAATCAGCTGAGTTCTGCAGGCCAGCACCCTGGTGTCTGGGTGCTAGGAATGTAGCACAGCAAGAGGAAGACAGAAAGACAGAAAGACAGAACCCTGGGCATGCACATGTGCAGCCACAGGGCAGGAAAACCACCGAAGGCGGGACCTTCTAGGAGGAGCACAGGCTTTTATCCAGAAACCTCCCCATACATTCTGCCTCACAAGTTTTCTTTCTTCAGCTCTCATTTGAGAAAAGGCTAATTCAGTGCTGGGCAGGGCTTTTTTTCCTGTCTAGTGAAATGTCCAGTTTCCCTTTACCCCAGGCTGCTGGGAAACTCACCATGAAATCTGAGGCTTATCTACAGTTGTTCTATGATAGCATGTGACTTCAGGCTCAAGACTGTTGTTTGACTCTAAGCCCTGTCGCTCAGGACTCATGTGACATTGGGCTAGTCACTCATCTGCAATGAGCCTCACTGCCTGCCTGTAAAGGGAGTGATCACACTCACCTTGAGGCTGTGGAGAAGGCAGCAGGAGATGCTCGCAACATAGTAGGTGCTCAAGAAATGCTTTTCCTTTTGATGTTAATTTTGTTCCTTTGGGTTGGAATTCAGTTTCAGTGCTTGTGCCTTTTCTGACAGATTGATTTAAATCCTCTAGGGAAAGGGGACTCTGTAAAGATATGTTGATAAGATGGATGCTCATTCCTTGGAACTCACAGCACATCTCGACTTATTGATCTGTTTGCTCATCTGTTTGGAAGTCCTGTGAGTGCAAGGTCACCTTCTGGCAAAATATTGGAAGAAAGAGCAGTGTTCGAGTGTGGATAAGTGAACAAATGAATGAAAGAACAAATGAAGGGAACTGAGGGGAGATGGTGTGGTAGATACAGCGCCTACATTCGATCCCCCCGCCCCCGCACCCCGTGTGTGATGCAGAGACTTCCTGCTTGGTGGTGTAGGCCTGTCATCCTGGCTACTTGGGAGACTGAGGCAGGAGGATTGAAAGTTCAAGGCCGACCTGGACTACAGAGTGAGTTCAAGGCCATCAGTCGGGATGCTCAATGAGATCCCATCTTAAAATGAAGGGTAAAAGGCTGGGACATAGCTCAGTGGTAGAGTGCTTGCAAGTATACCCAAGGCCCTGCACTTGGAAAAAAAAGTGGGATATATTCCTCCTGTCCTGGGTCTGGCCTGGACCAACGAAACCGGTAGTGATGCGGTTACAGCGTGGTGGATCAGCAGCAGGGGGCCTGGAGGCCAGGATTCCTCCTTCCATGGAGCTGAGCAGGCTGGACTCTGTAGCACTTGGCGCCCTAGATGCCCCATGTCCCCTACACCTGTCCAAGCTTGGCTGTGGGACTTTCTGAAAACCAGAGACATTGGCAACAGGACATGGGCAGCTGGAGGGACACAGGCACAGGGGACACAGGCAGGAAACGAAACGAAATGAAACGAAACAAAACAAAAAACAAAACAAAACAAAACAACACCAAATAAACCTCAAACCTGAGACAGTGAGGATGACACCCAATGTGGGCATCTTCTTTGCCCTGTAAATAAATGTAACTTGGCTGCAAGCTGAATTTGATTGTCTCAGTCCTAGAGGGTCAAGGCTGGGTTTGAACTTGGGAGCACGGAGAGTAGAGATGCAGAGCCGAGGGTCGGGGCCATACCTGTAATTCCAGCCCTCAGGAGGAGGTAGGAGTGGACAAAAGGAGGAAGCAGCAGGCAGCGACACAGGGGTCTCCAGCTGCCCTTGCTTGCCACTGGAGCATTGGGGCATTGCTCATGGAGCCAGTTTTGGGGAGGAGGCAGGTCCAGGGGACCAGAATGCTGGAAGCTGCCTGAAACCATTTCTGCTCCAATTGCAGAGACTGGTCTGCCCTGTGGGGATCCCTCCCTGAGTTCAGAGCCATGTGCTGTATTCTCTGTGGAGTCACCTGTCTGGACACAGGGTCTAGTTCAGGGACACTTGTCAGCTGAGTCTTAGACTGGGACTGGAAAAGTGTCGCCATGGAGCCTTTGGAAATGGTGTATAGGGCCCCCCTGCTCCACCGTCTTTGTGGCTTTGTATCATTGGTGTCTGTTGTACCCGGAACCTTGGCCTGGGAGAGCCTGGTGCCACCCAGGGCTTGGGTCCTGAATTTGGGCTGCTTCCAGGACTGTGCTGGGCCTCTGGGACCTCTGCTTTCAAAACAGCTGTGCACAATGAATGGGTCTGCAGACTCTGAGGACAGTTAGGGGCTTAGAGGGTGGCCAGGACTTTTGTTTTATTTTAGGTGTGTCAGGCCCAGAGATGAAGGAACCACTGCCATTGAAGGGCGACGCGTGAGGACTGAGGAGACGGTTCAGCTAGGAAAGTGCTTGCAAAGCAAACATGAGGACCTGAGTTCAGATCCCCAGCACTCATGTAAAAGCTAGCCATGGGCGGGGTATGGCGGCGCACGCCTTTGATCCCAGCACTTGGGAGGTGGAGGCAGGCAGATCTATGTGAGATCAAGGCCAGCCTGATCTACATAGCAAGTTCTAGGCCAGCTGAGGCTACGGGGAGACCCTGTCTCAAAAACGAAACAAAACAAAACAATGAAAAGCTAAGTATGGGGGTATACATCTGTCACCCCAGTACTGAGAAGATGGAGACAGGCAGATCCCTGGAACTCATTAACTAGCCTGAACTGGTAGACTCCAGATCCAGTGAGAGACTGTCTCAAAAGATAATGTGTAGAGAGACTGAGGAAGATACCCAGTGTTGATACACATGAATACATGAGTGCAAATTAAACATTAAAAAAAGAAATAGGAGCTGCAGAATTGTAAGGGATTAAATCCCTGATAGGCAACAGGGTCACGAGGAGTATTGAAGATGGCACACTTCCTCATCTTGGCCTGAGACAAAGGCCTGGGGGCCCCCCCTTAGCTTCCCCTCTTTCCTGCAACTGACTAGTTCAAACTGGTTCAAATAAGACTGAGATTGGATGTGGACACTTTATTGTAAGCCATAAGCCTGCCAACCTTCCCTACCTTGTTTAAGCTAACTGATTAAAAATTAGGAGAGAGGAAACCTCTAAAACCCTTAAAACCCAGGCCTCCCCCGAGGACATTGAATTCTCAGTTTCCAAGTCGTCTCTCCTCTGTGGAGTTTTATCATCCCGTATGAGTCTGTGGATGTGTAATTCTTTACGTGTATGGATGTGATTCTTTATCTTTCAATCAAAGTTTGTTTGCCTGTTGTTCTCTTCTGGTCTGAGATTTTTCCTGCCTTTTAATTCTTTAGTTGGCTGAGAAAATGTGACCAACCTTATCCCTAGACTGATAACATGACCTCAACAAAATGGATCAGCCAGTAAAAGTGCTTGCTGTACAAACCTGACAACCAGAGTTCCATCCCCACATAAAAGTGGACAGAGAACCAGCTCTACAAAGTTGTCCTCTGACCTCTACACATGCCCCTCACCCCACATTACACATATACACAGTAGTGATTTTTTTATGTGTCTGAGTATATTGCTTGCGTGGAAATGCATCCATGTTCTGCAATGCCTGTATAGATCAGAAGAGGGTGTAGGATCCCCTGGAACTGGAGTTATGGATGGATGTTGTTAACCACCATGTGGGTGCTGGGAATTGAACTTGGGTTCTCTGCAAGAGCAGCCAGTGCTCAACTGCTGAGCCATCTCTCCAGCCCCTCAATAATAATTTGTTTAAAGAAAAGAAAAATATGAAGAAAGGAAGGAAGAGGAAGGAAGACAGAAAGGAAAGAAGGAATGAAGGAGGGAGGGAGGGAGGGAGGGAGGGAAGGAAGGAAGGAAGGAAGGAAGGAAGGAAGGAAGGAAGGAAGGAAGGAAGTTTTACATAGTTCCCAGGAAAAGGACTCTGAAGCCTAGAAGGGAAGCATAGGAGGGCTGCTGGGAGGTGGAGGGTATGAGCGGAGGATGTTCTGTGGATTTCTCTGTGGGAGAGGGTAAGTAAGGTCTTGTAGGCTCAGGACTTGATAGCTTCGAATGATCTTATCTGGCTTGGGCTTTGTAGGGTCCCATGTCTGGCTCAGCTTTGGACTGTGACCCCAAAGTAGCCACACTGGAAAGTCTTCACCTAGCACAGATGATGGCTTTCCTACAGCCACACAGATGGAGCCCCTTTCAGTCAAGCTTTCTACCCTATATACCCTAACACCTCCCCAGCCCCCAAGTCCACCAACCACATGCAGTTAGGGCACAGTCACACACAGCTGGGAGGAATGACTGGAACTCAGGTGAAGGGTCAATGACCCTCCTCACCCCTCCCTTTAAAAGATTTATCTTGGGACTAGAGAGATAGCTCAGTGGTTAAGAGCACTGGCTGCTCTTTCAGGAGACCCGAGATTGATTCTCAGCACCCACATGACGGTTAACAACTGTCCTTAACTCCAGTTCCAGGGGATCCAACGCCCTCTTCTGACCTCCGTGGGCATTGCAGGACATGGTTACACTTACATACATGTGGGCAATATACTCATACACATACAATAAAAAATAAAAAATATTTATCTTTTTAAATTAAAAAATATTTTTTTATTATTTTTATTACATACTATTATTTTATTATTACTTATTATTATTCAGATCCTCTGCAAGAGCAGTATGCAGTCTTAAGTGCTGAGCCATCTCTCCAGCCCTCCTCTCTCTGTCTTCTGTGGGGAGAATGCCAGTCAACAAACTGGGCTGTGATGATCTGGTTCAATCAGGCACAGCTGATCCAATGACGATGGTGACTGTTTTGCTCAGAGGACAGCGCTATATAAGAGTCCTTTACTAGCTCTAGAAATGCGCTTACCCTGCAGGGACCATGCCTCCCAGTCCTGGGCTCTCAATGCCAGAGCATCTGGAAGACAGAAAACAGAACTCTAGGTAGTATGGCTGATTCCCTGAACACACTGGGCTGACCGCTTCCCAGCCGTTTACGCAGGACAGACCTGTACACAGCAGTTGCTCAATCCTTGCTT